GAGAAAATAACAAAAATAATGAACAACCATATACCAGAGACATTCTGTGGGGGTGGAGTGGGGAATGGGATCAAAAACGGGGGAAGGGGGAAGGGAAGGAAATGCACGGGACTATGGTAGTGGCACACGGGTGATTTGGGGATGGGAAACCCACGGGGATTACAATCGAGATGGAAAAAAAATGTGCAAAATGATGTAAAAATAAACTTGTAATAATTAAAAAAAATAGATTACTGAGTTAGTATTTTTTAAATACTTATTTCTGGTTTTGAAACTTGAAATTTTGCTATTTGATTGAGATTTTCATAAGTTTATTACTAGTCAATTTCATTGTAACTAAGTTTGACTGAGGAAAGCTTTTTTTAAGTGTTTTTATTTGATCTATTTTTGGAGTAGGTGACACCTTCATGTAATCACAGTCAACTGATAACATTCCATATTACCCTCAAGAATCCTATGAAATCATATCTAACTTCATTACATCCACTTGTCTCAGTTAGTCATGCAGCCTTGAACCCAAGATTTCTAACACATTTTTCATTCATTCACTCATTCAACAAATACTTTTACATGTCATTATATCTCAACGTCTGCTCCAAACTGGAGAAAAGCTAGACACAAAAGATCTACAGTGGCTGTTCAAAACCACGTGGTGTAGTTGGAGCAACAGTCACTGTCCACCTGGGTCCAAACCAGTCATCTCTTTCCTAAACTAATATGTCTCCTCCTGACTAGTCTCCTTTCCTAATTGTCAGCTCTTCAAATAGTAACCTAAGTGATCATTTAAAAAGATCGTCTAAAAAATAGATAACCATATATAAGCAGATCATTTCACTCCCAAACCTACAAAGTCTGGTTATCATAATCTAAATTAAATCCAGTTGTATCCTAATAATGAGATGCAACATGATCTATCCCGACATGTATCTGTCTTCATTCTCTGCTTATTAATGTTGAGTCTCTGCACTAGACATCTCGATCCCTTTGGTTTTCCTTCAATATGTTAAATGTAAGTTTTTCACTTGTGTTCCTACTGCCTGGAACACTTGGATACTCACTCATAGCCAGCTTTCCCCTTCATGAAGGTCTCCAGACCACAGAGCTGCTTAGACAGGCATGTCACTCACCATGTTAACACATACAGAGGTGCCCCCTTTCTCTCATTTTCTATCGTCTTACTGTATTTACATTTTTTATAATAGTTTATTT